TTTTCTCACCTGCTGGGCATGAAATATAAGGAAATGGGTATGCCTAAGATATATGTTTCAATTAGTTATTTAGCTGTCAATCCCTGGCTCAAATATTCTGAAGCTTTTGCAGGAAAAACAGCAGGTAATCTTTTGCAGTTTATATAAACCATATAATTTCAGAGGATAACCAAAATTACTTCAGCAAAATAAAGCTTTCAGGCAAGATTTCAACCTGAATTGAATCATACTTTTAGACTTTCCCTTCGTAAAGAGTTTTTTTACTGTGGAATCCGACTTAATTGAATGCAAGATATGCAATGTTATATTTTTAAAGCATTTTCTTGCTGAACACTATAGTTAGCTTTATTTTTAGTCTATTTCTCTATTAGAAAAGCATCATCTTGACTGCATCACTTTGGATGATGTAAAAAATGCAATACTTCCCTATCACGCAGTTTCGATGCACCAGGAAGACATTGATAATGCAGCTAAAAAAGAAAAGAATCCGGTGATAAAGCGAAACAAAACCATCCCCGCAAAACGAGCTAAGCGAACCGATCCCAATTCCTCTGACAATGGATCCTGTGCTCTTGACATTTCCAATACTAAATGTCTTGTTTCTTCTAGCTCTCGAAGAAAGCTAGTTTCTGTCATTAAACCTGATGAAGAAGAACCCACTGTACTACAACCAACTTTAAAGAAGCCAATTAAGATTAATATTCGTAATAACGTAGCGAATTCAGCCAAGAAAGCTTCTTTCAACCGCGAAGGGTCTTCCTCTTCTTCTGATTCCCACCCTTCGATGAAGCAATGCAGCTCAGTTGAGGACGTATCTGAGCCACTTTTAATGCCTCGCAAGGGTTTAATGGAAATACTTTTAGAGGAGTCTGCTCTTTTTTCCGGTTCTCGCAAACCATCAAGTGAAAGTGGCCATGTTGGTTTATTTGGATCTAATAGATCTCGGGATACTCTTAGTTCAGACTTAAGGGATGTAGAATTAAGACCTTTCTCATATCCCTCGACGCCTTCCCTTTCCCCCATTTGTCAAGACCAATCGGTTCTTGATTCTGAAGAGCCTTCTGTTACCAGTTCGGAAAGACCAGTACGTCCTGCCTCCAATTCCTTTGCA